ACCGGGAAGGGGCGGGGCCGTGGAACTTCTGGGAAGGCCAGGGGGCGGGGCGTCCGGCTCCGGGGAAATCTCCGAGTCCGGGGCTCTTCTCCCGGGGGTGGGGTCAGGTGGATCGGCCTTCCTGATCCAAAAACCCGGGTTCGAGAAGGCAGTGAGGCCGGCTACAGCCACACAGCCACTGCCACTGCCTGTGTAGCCTGGGAGCCGGCCAGGGCCCCCCGCGGGTTGGAGTCCTGGCTCTCCTTCACCGCAAACCTGCACCCTGCTCTCCTCCCCCCAAACCTCAGACTTCAAGCACCGCATCACCGTGCAGGCCTCACCCGGCCTTGACCGGAGGAGAAACGTCTTCGAGGTCGGGGCTGGGGACTCGCCCACCTTCCCCCGGTTCCGGGCCATCCAGTGTAAGAAACCTAGCCTCCCTCCTCCTCTCCTTCCCCCAGCCCTTATCCTCTGTCAAACCTTTTCCTGGAGGGGGATCCCACCCACTGTCTCCTCCTCTTCCCCTCCTTCCCCCCATTGATCTAGAATGATAACTCTGGGTCTCCCAAGCAGCACACATTTTACTTAATTTCTTAGTCAAGCAATGGTATGATACTATATGTTACTCATTGTCTTAATGCTTTGCTAATATTAACTTTATTCTTTGCAATAATTACATTAGGTAGATATTATTATCGTTATCATAATTTAATTGATAAGCAACTAATAAGCAGCAGAGCCAGAATTCAGACCTAGGCAATTGGTGTCAAATGTCTGTACTAACTACTGAGCAGCAAGTGTCAGCTGAAGGACTAGACATGTACCCACCCCACTGCTGGCCCCAAGATCCAAACCTGCCTCTCACCCAAAACTCACCCTTGGAATGGTGTGGGACCCAGCCTGCTCCTCAACCCCTAAGAGTCATCTCTGAAGGACGACTCATAATGGAGGGAAGAGACGGGTCAGCCCACATCCTCCTGGCTTCCCTCCACAGTGGAACCTGCAGAGCCAGGCCAGACATGGGGCCGCCAGTCCCCCCGACGTCTGGAGGACTCAAGCAATGGCGAGCGGCGAGCATGCTGGGCCTGGGGTCCCAGTTCCCCCAAGCCTGGGGAAGCCCAGAATGGAAGGTGAGTGCCCGAGTGCCCCCACCCTGCTATCATCTGCTGTCCCTAGTCCCGAGATGCATCCCTCCCTCCTTGACCTCTCTCACCAGGAGAAGGTCCCGCATGGACGAGGCCACGTGGTACCTGGATTCAGATGACTCGTCCCCCTTAGGATCTCTTTCCACACCCCCAACTCTCAACGGTGAGTTCTCCCCACCCCCAAAGCAGGATCTTGCTGAGCTCCTGGAGGCCCCTTGGGGAGGCCATGAGGGCCCAGCAGACAGAACAAGGATCCTGCCCTGATTGCTTGTATTCTGGAGATGAGGAAACTGAGGCGGAGACAGGCCAGAGTCGGTCCTAGAGCCCAGGTCCGACCTGCCGTCCCATGATCAAGCTGCCTACAGCCCAGGCCTCCGAGGTCCCAGAGTCACGTCCCCCTGTTCAGACCTGGCCTGCCAAAGGCCTCTTTCCTGGGCCCGTGGGTAGCCCCTGTGCCCCTAGCAGGCTCTAGGAAGGAAAGGAAGACAAAATGGTACACCCATTTGGTACCCAAGGGAAACTGGGTCCACAGAAAGGAAGGAAACTGCCTGTGGGGGATGGAGCCAGGTAAGTATCTGCCATATTGCACTTCTCAGAGTCTCCCTGGGGTGCCCCTAGCAGGGCAAGAATAAGAAGGCTGAGCAGACAGGATCCAGGGCCCACTCTCACTGCATCCAGGACAGTTCACGGCTTTTCTGTTCTCCATGATGATAGCAACACTGCTGTCCACCAACATCCCACCCAAGTGACAACCCTGTGAGGGAGGTACTATTATTATCCCCATTTTAAAGATAAGGAAACTGATACTCCAAGAGGCAAAATAACCTCCCTAAATCCCCCAGCTAAGGACGTGAACTGAGATCCATGGTAGGGCTCCTTGGAACTTTCACTTGAAGAAAGGGTCTGTCACATACAGACTGCTTAGGACACTCAAGTGTGGGGCAGAGAGCAAGTCTCCAGCATCAGGGGGATAAGGACTCATCCCAGCCCAGCCCTAGCAGAGGCGAGAAAGTTATGGCCTCCCTTGCCTGTGTATTCCAGTGCAACCAGGGACCATCTTCACAACCCTCAGCCTACATGCTGCTCACAGCCAGAGTCCTGTTCAGGAAACCATTGAGACTCCTTCCACCCCAACTGACCTGTCATCTCCACCATTAGCTGAGTGACATTCGACAATAATAACAGCAGCTAACATGCATTGGGTCTTTCCTACGTGCTAGGTAATTTTGTGAGGTGGATAGTATTATTGGCCCATTTTACAGTTGAGGAAACTGAGACACGGGAGGCTAAGTAGTTTGAGGCAAGACACCCGGCAGAGCAGCCATTTGAACCGAGGTCTGTCTGAGTCCAGAAGAGCCCTGGTGTCCCCATCTGTCCCACCACTTTCTTCTCCAGCAATTGCATTGCCTCAAGGGCAATTGTACTGTGGGGGGCTTCTTGGATTCACCTGTTCTAGAGGGTACCCGGATTCACCTGTTCTAGAGGGTACCCGGCCAGAGGAGTCAATGGAGGATGGAGATCCTGTCCACCCAGGTGTGTTTGTGTTTGTTTTTTCACTCCTTTTTTTTTTTTGAGTTGGAGTCTCACTCTGTCGCCCAGACTGGAGTGCAGTGGCCACTCCCGGCCACCGCAGCCTCGACTTGCTGGGCTCCGGCGATCCTTCCGCCTCAGCCTTCCAAGTAAGCTGGAACTACAGGCGCACGCTACCACACCTGGCTAATTTTTTATTTATTGTAGAGATGCAGTCTCGCCAAGTTGTCCAGGCAGGTCTCGAACCCACGGGCTCAGGCAATCCACTCACCTCAGCCTCCCAAAGCGCAGGATTACAGGCTGAGCCACCGAGCCCAGCTGTTTTTTCACTTCTTGAGTCAAGGTCTTAATCTGTTGCCCAGGCTGGAGTGCAATGGCTCACCACAGCCTCGATCTCCTGACCTCAGGTATTCCTTCTGCCTCAGCCTCCCGAGTGGCTGGGACTACAGAAGTGTGCCACCACGCCCGGCTAAGTTTTTGATTTTTCTTTTGTAGAGACAAGGTCTCACTCTGTTGCCCAGGCTGGTCTGGAACTCTTGGGCTCAAGTGATCCTCCTGCCTTAGCCTCCCAAAATAACAGGATTACGGGCATGAGCCACTGCACCCAGCAAGGTGTATACGTTAAAGAAATGCCAGACCCTTCTGCAGAACCCTTCGGCCTTGCCCTCCCTGGACTCCCAGGGGCAGGGACACAAATGCCTGGGTCCCATCCTGCTCAGGTTTGCCCCTCTACCTGAAAGGATGCCACCTGCCCCAGCCAAGTCACCAGCTGAGCATGTAGTTCTCCTAGACAAAGCCCACATTCCAGCTCCTGCCTGGGTCCACGAGAATACCTGCCCATGACCTCGTGACCACCCACAAAGTCAGAAACCCAGCTGAGAATCAGGTAATGGGGACTCACAGAGGTCCCAGACCCTGTGAGATTGTCCCAGGCAGACTGGGCACGGTGGCTCATGCCTGTAATCCCAGCACTTTGGGAGGCAGAGGTGAGAGGATTGCCTGAGCCTACAGGTTCGAGACCAGCCTGGTAACTTGATGAGACCTCGTCTCTACAATAAATTTAAAAATTAAGCCAGGCACGGTGGCTCAAGGCTGTAATCCCAGCACTTTGGGAGGCAGAGGTGAGAGGATGGCCTGAGCTGTGGGTTCGAGACCAGTCTGGGCAACATGGTGAGACCTCATCTCTACAATAAATCAAAAAGAAGAAAATTAGCTGGGTGTGGTAGCGTGCACCTCTAGTTCCAGCTACTTAGAAGGCTGAGGCAGAAGGATCGCGTGAGCCCAGCAGGTCGAGGCTGTGGTGGCTGTGAGCATGCCACTGCCCTCTAGCCTGGGCGACAGAGTGAGACTTCAACTCAAAAAAAAAATTATCTAGGCTTGGTGGTGCCCGCCTGTAGTTCCAGCTTCTTGCAATCAGAGGCAGAAGGATTGCCTGAACCCAGCAGGTCGAGGCTGCAGTGGCCGTGAGCATGCTACTGCACTCCAGCCTGGTGACAGAGTGAGACTCCAACTCAAAAAAAAAAAAAAAAAAAAAGAAAGAAAGAAATTGTCCCAGGGGACCATGTGTGGTGGCTCACACCTATAATCCCAGCTCTTTGGGAGGCCAAGGTGAGAGGATCGCCAGAGCCCATGGGTTTGAGACCAGCCTGGGCAACTTGGTGAGACCTCATCTCTACAGTAAATCAAAAATTAACTGGGTGTGGTGCCACGTGCCTGTAGTTCCAGCTACTTGGAAGGCTGAGGCAGAAGGATCACCTGAGCCCAGCAGGTTGAGGCTGCAGTGGCCGTGAATATGCCACTGTACTCCAGCCTGGGCAACAGAGTGAGACTCCAACTCAAAAAAAAAAAAAAGCCGGGCTCAGTGGCTCAGCCTGTAATCCCACGCCTTTGGGAGGCTGAGGTGAGTGGATTGCCTGAGCCCACGGGTTCGAGACCCGCCTGGGCAGCGAGACCTCATCTCTACAATAAATCAAAAAA